CCTAATTCAAAATAAAATAATTTCAAAAGCTTGTCTCTTCAGTTTTTTCGAACACCTCCATTTGAGAAGACAAAGAGAGTAGAGTGCTTCCCATTCATCCTCTCTCAAGTTCTTCTTCTTCTCTGTTAACACAAACCCTCTGCTTTTATGGTTCTTGTTCTATAGAATTTTGATATCAAGATTGCATTTTTATTTTTTGGGTATGCTTTAATATGATGAAATTGAAGTGGGTTTTTCTTAAAACTTGATGGGGTTAATGTTTTTTCAAGGACATGGTGTGTTGGTAGGTGTAGGTCTATCATGGATGTGTTTCAATAGTGGCGTAATTAGGATTTTTACTATGTTAAAATAGGAATAATATGTTTCTATGTTTTGGATAACTAAAACAACACTTATTTTACTTGGATTTGATACACTTGAGTTGTTGGTCTTTCGAAAATAATCTCTTTTTCAGAACACAAGTAAACTAGGTAGTATGTACTCTAACCGGACAATTTCGAGATTCCTTACATATTGTGTTCTTGTTTATTTTCTGCAAATTATTGTTGTAGTAGTTATTTGATGTTATGCTTCCAAATGGGAAAATAACAACTTTTACCTCCGTGATGTACTTAGAAACCATCCTGATAATGTAATTGATGACATTCTACTGAGGTTGCCTTTACGAAATGTTGTGAGGACAAGCATCTTATCAAAGAAATGGAATATAATTGGCATAGACTTCCACAACTGAAATTTGATCAAACACTTTGGAAAACAACAGAGGACTTGATATCAATTGATATATTTCCTCTCTAGGAATGACATTCAACATCTTGTCCTTAAACCTCCATTTAGGAGTAAGTCATATTGCCTTCTGCATATTTTACATGTTCACAATTGAGGTATCTATTTCTAAAGGACTGTCAAATATGTCCTCATCCGGTCTTTGAGGGATTTGATTAGTTAATTAACTTAGCACATATTGAAGTCAATATTTCTTCTAAATTTTTTGGAAGTATAATCTCACATTGTCCATTGCATGAGCATTTGGTGCTGCAACACAACGCTATTGCAAATCACATTGAAATTAGTTCTCCCAAGCTGAGGTCAATTAACTTCACTGGGAATATAAGGTATTAAAATTTAGAGAATTTCCCTCTTCTTTCTAAAGTTTCATATGAGCCTACAGAATTTTCTGTAGAGGTAGAACATGATGTTGATAAGATTTTTGAGTCTATTCCTGCTCTCGATAATCTCTGTTGGAATCACGAGTATGTTCAGGTAATATAGCTTTATAACTTGCATTTCCATACCTTTGAGTCATCCTGATTTTCGACATTTTCTTCCTAGGACATGTATATTGGACCGGCTCCCATATGGTCTTTACTATTTTAAATTCCTTCACATATCTTGCATTAATTTACGAGTATTCTTTGATCTCTTATTTGCTCTTTGCTTGATAAGAAGCTCTCTAAATTTAGAAGAAATTGAAATTGAGGTTGTTAATGATGTTTATTTCTCCCTCTCTTATTCGTATGCATTTGACTTTCTTATGATCTTCAATTTTAAAGCAAGGCTGATGGTTTTTCTTAATCTTTCTTAGAACTATTTTGAACATTCGCGCCGGGAGGATGTTGATAATATTCCTGAAAGTTTCTTGGATATGACATTTAATCACCTGAAGACAGTAAAGATTTATAATTTAACAGTAGTAGCAGCTGAAATGTATCTTATCAATGTTCTATTGGCCAACTCCCCAACAATGATCAGAATGATAACCAAGCCCTGTGAAATGGAAGATAAAAAAACTTTTAATGTACTCGCTAGGTTAAAAAATTTCTGCGTACATCATCTAAAGCACAAGTTGTGTATAGCGTAGATTAGAATCCATATTACGATCTTCTTTGATCTTAACTAGTCTTTAATCAGATCAAAATCTTTTGCTAAACTATTTGAAATCGTAAAAACAATGTTGATATAGCAGTAAGGCTATTATTTTGCATTTGTCACTGTGAAGGCCATCAGTTTATGAACATAGGTGAATCTGGATGGATGTTTTTAATTAATCTGTTTCAATGTCTGTTCTTTGAATGATCTATGGGATGACGCTTTGGTTGGTTATTGATCTTTTTAATATATTCATTGTGGTCCTCATGGTCATTGTGCTTTGTTCTTTATTTGATATGATCATGACATGAGTTGAGCGTAACTGGAATAGTGAGGATTCATATTGTCGATTTAAACTAGTTGTTTTATGAGACTCGATGACATTGTTCACACATTGTTCTGAATAGTGAGAAAGAATGAAATTCGATAAATTCCCTTGATCTTAATGGTTAGTAATCAATACCCCTTTTGAATTGAAGAGATAATCCCTTTCAACAACATTTTTCAATGAAAATTATGATACAATATACATTATAAGCTGAAATTGAATTTCAACAATATTATTCTTACAAGCTCAATATTACAATTCCACATCCCAGAAAAAGTATCTCTAAAAAGAGGAAAAAGGGAAAAAAAGGGGGATGGGGGTGGGGTCAGTTGTTCATAAATAACTTTTTTTCCTATACTGCCAGAACATATCTCATTCCTTTATGGAGCTTCCATATAATCATATATATACAAGCTCAATCGAGCCCTACCGTAGACAAAAAGTCTGGTATATAAGTGGAGAAGAGTAAATGGGCGAGTCTATCATCCACTGAGTTATGAACCGTGCACTATTGACCCTCGAGGACTTCTTGGTTATAAAAAAAACAACTAAAAAAAACAAGCTCAATAACATACAACAATATTACTTGATCGTTCTATCTTACATTCCCTTTTTTCATCTAATTGACTATTTTTTATAATCTAAAGCAGAAGTTGTGTGTCGTGTTTATTTGTATCGTTATCAGAATCCTTCTAAATCTTTAGTTAAAATGTCTTGGAAGTACTAACAGATACAAGACCTTTGGTTGATAGAGTAGTAAGGCTGTGTTTTGCCTTTTCTTTAAGGTACTAAAAAGATATTATCTGCTTGGAAACATAAAATTGTGAATGTTTTTAATACTATGTTTGGTAACAGAGATGGTTTTTACATTCATGCTTGTTCTTAAATGATGTATGATGTGAGACTTTTGTTGTTTATTTCAAAGTTATATTGTGTGTTGACTTCTCTTAGGGAGCTTGCAACATTAAGTGGAAACTTACTTTTTGGCTAGTAGGAATTTCTTTCCTGTTAAGGGATTAGTCTAAGTTAGATCGAGAAGTATTTATGTCGGACATGATTCGTCCTCATCTGTTAACAAGAAACTAGAAGCAGCATCATTTAATCTGGGGTTCTTGTGTTGATGTTTATTTTGGAGAATCATAATAGAAATATTAGATATTAATGTGATTATAAATTATTTTATTAAAATTTAGAGTGAAAATATGTCTATTTTATTTTATAGTAGTTATTTGTTTTTCTCATTACAAAAAAACATAAATAAAAATGATAAATTTCATTAGTTTGGACTTTAAGAATCTTTTTCTCAAGGTTTACAAACTTGATTACATTTACAAAAATAGAAAAGAAATAATTTTAGGGATAAATGAGATCAAAATGATTGGAAAATTATCTGTAAAATGTGAACAACTAATACAAGACTATGAAAAGACTTTCCTTTTGAAACAGCCTAAAAAAAGAGTAAATATCACATAAATTAAGGGAAAAAGAAAGTAAAAATTAATGTTATTATTTATTTAGAGAAATTGGCACGTATATTTAGTTACTGAAAATTTACTTTGATCTGTCCAATTTAATCCACTTAATTTTTTTTGCATGTGACATTTAATACCTCAAAATAGTTAAAATTGATTGTGTAGGCCTGTTACAAATTTAACTTTCTTGATGTTATGACTTTTTTAATTTAGGAAATTGTCCTTTTTATGTATAAGAGATACAGAAATACCAAGAGATATCATTTGTTCAGTATTATAGACTCAAAATTTGTACATTTTAACTAATTTTATGTAAGGGCGAATCTAGAAGGAGAAAAGGTATATTAATTTGAATTTTCTTGAAAACAAATATATATTATATATATAAGATTTTTTGGTGTTTATATATAAATTTAAATTCCTCAGTGTTAATTTCTTTGTACATTGTAAGGCGTTTACATTTCACTTAATTAATTACCAATTTTTTTTTGCAGTCCTTCAAAAAAATTAGAGATTTTGTAGTAGTATGAAATTTTTTATACATATTCATAAAATATTTTTATCAATAATGTTATTCTGTACTAAATTATTTTAAAGAACTAATAAAACAAATAAACTTAGGAAAAAATGAGTTGAGTTGTGCCTTGACTCATTATCTGCCCAGATTTGGCTCAATTCATATTAATCAAATCAAATTTAGTTTGGATTGCATCTTGACCCGTTTGATATCTTGACCCATTATGATTGACCTAAGATTGATCCAATTTGCTCAATTACCGTCCCTAACAATGCCTAAGATTAAAATAGAAGAAAAATCAATGAAACATAAAGTCTTTAATTTTTAAGCCCATAAAACTAGGCTTTGAATTTCGCTACAGCCCTTATTGCTTATTAAGTTTATTGATGCACATGAAGTCTTCAATTTTTAAGCCCATTTTTGCTTGTTATAGACACAGATTTTTATATTCTACTATGATATAAGATTTTATACAACCACTATTAAGATTGATGAAAGAAAAATATGTTAGAATGGGCATTTAATAAACTTCAACAATATTTTTTTGATAGATTTAATACATCATGTTAGGTATCTAACTAAAAGAAAGAGAATGATTCTTATTTAGTCCTAGAACCCACAAATTCCAAAAAGAAATAGTTATGGAAAAACATAATAAAGTTTTTAAGTATTAAATCTTTTTCAGGTGGCGTAGAGAGTGTTGAAAGCAAATGACAAGTAAAAGTTATGAAGGAAAGAAAATTAATCAATATTCAACATATGTCCTTTATTAATTGATCATTTTAACATTATTAGTATAGAGATCTCACAAAAGTATGTATAAATAAAGGATGTATTGATGATTATAATGTTGAGTTACAAACTTCTTACATAGGAGAAAAGTCCTATTCTAGTTATACTAGGAGTCCTACTACAATAGAAATAATTACATGAGTAGTAATTTATTACAAGTGAAATACCTTATCCTAATCAACTCCTACAATGTTCAGTTTCTTAATCGTACAAAACATAGGATTTAGTAGTCTAATCCTTGTATGAATCTAGCTCTAACTAGTCATCCTGCTTCAATGGACTTGTTCCTTCGACGTGTTCCATCAGACGTCAAGCTTCCTTCAACACTTCCCCTCAAGCTAGTGAGTAGAGAAATTGTAACTCCTAGCTTGCTGCGAAAACCAGAAAAAAAAAACTATTTTGTTAAGGCTTTGGTATGAATATCAGCTAGCTGATCCTTAGACTTTACAAATTAAGTAAGAAGTTGTCCCGTGCCCCTTTCTCACGAACAAAATAATAGCCCAGTTTAATATGTTTGGTTCTAGCATGCATAACTTGATTAATCGTCATGTACAACACACTAATATTATATTAATACAATGTAGGAACATATCGAAGGAACACTCCAAGGTCATGAAGATGATATAAAATCCAAATCATTTTTGCGGCAGTGGAGGCTAGTGCTCTATAATCCGCTTCAGCGCTCGATTGAGCTACTCTGCTCTTTTTCTTCGAGGTCTAAGAATACAATTTGCACCTATGTAGATACTAAAACCTGTAGTTGATCTCCTCGTATTTCTACAACCTCCCCAATCAGCATTTGAGTAGTCATACAACTTACATGGTGATTGTGAAATAATTCTGATTCCAAAGTGTAGAGTACCTTTGATGTACTTGAGTATCATTTTTACTCCTTGAAAATGTTCAACGTTTGGGCTTTGCGTAAATTCGCTTGCTAAATTTACAGCATGAGTGATATCAGGTCTTGTTAGGGTCAAATATTGAAGACTCCCTAATATAATTCTTTAAAATGATGCATATACAACACTTCCCACAGCTTCATGCAAACCATGTTTTCTAGCCAAAGGAGTGGCTACAGCCTTTGCAAAAGTCATATCTGTGTTTGCCAACATCTCAGCGCCATACTTGCTTTGGTTTAAGTGAATTCCACCTTTGAAATAGTTCACCTCAATTCCTAAAAAGAAGTGTAAAGGGCCAAGATCTTTCATGGAAAACTTCTTTCCAAGTTGTAGAACCAACTCTAAAACATGAGATGAGTACTACCTATGACACTAATATCATCCACATATAACAAAGAGAAATATTTTTCTTTTGTGAGTTTGCAAAGTAAATAGGGAAGGGTCAGTCTTACTACAAATAAAACCAAGGTGTAAGAGATGCATGTTAAACCTATAAAACAAGACTCTTGTGGCTTGTTTAAGACCATACAATGCCTTTTTAAGTAGACATACACCCTGAGGATACTAGGGATCAATAAAACTAGGGGGTTGACTCATGTACACCTCCTCTTGTAAGAAGCCTTGTATAAACACATTTTTGACTTCTACATGTCTAAATTTGCACTTTGAACTGACAACAATGGATAGAACCACCTTAATAGTTGTAGCTTTAACCACATAACATAATATTTCTTCAAAATCTAGCCCTTCAAGCTGTGAGAATCCCATTGCCACAAGTCTCGGCTTATACCTATCTATTGTCCCATCAACTTTTAATTTTCTCTTGAACACCCATTTTGATCTAACCAAGTTCATATCAGGAGATTTAGGCACAAAAATTTATGTCTTGCTAGTATGTAAAACACCAATTTCTTCTTGCATTTCTGCAAGCCAATAGGTGATTTTAGTGCTTCCTTAGTAGTATTTCGTTCTCTCACAATTTATGTGTTGTTGCTAGCAACAAGTAACAAGTGTCGTTCCTTTGCCTTGTTCCTGGTGATCATATGATGCCCTTGTTGTGCAGGAAATACCTCAACTGTACATTAATGAAAACCGTGGAATGGAGTGTACCATTGTCAACTTGAAGGTCAACTGCTACATAAACTAAAGTGGTTGTTTGATGATGATCATTGGTTGGACCTTTCAGAGCAACTTTTTCCTCACTTCTGCTGGCATATTCAAAATTTGCACATGGAGTTTCAATGTTAATGTACGGATCTTCAAATTCAACCTGTTCTTTAACATCTGATATTGTTCTTTAGAGGTTAATAATACTCTTATCATCAATGAGTACATGAGGTGTAACATCATTATCAATAGTAATGGGCAGGCTAGCAACCTGTACTTCCCCTGAATCATAATTATCAGTGGTCTACAGTTTAGAGAAAGATTTAACAAAAGTAGCAAGGTGAGGTGAGACATCAATGTTTGTCTGATATTCCTTTGCACACACATAAGGTAATGTGTTTTCATCAAACACAACATGTCTGAATATGTAAACCCTCCTTAAAGCCTCATTCTCTTGAATTAAAGTTATTATTTCCTCTTTTTTATAAGTAGTTTCCTCTTCCCCTGCCTCATTGGGAAGATAATGCCATGTTATTGTTTTGTTAAGGCAATTCTTCTTCCTCCTCCCCCATATGAAAACCCCTAAGAGCATTAACAAACTTATTAGACGTAGGATATGGTGTCTTAACTAGCATGACAGTCCTGAAGGTCGTGTAATTATGACCTAGACCTCTAGGAAAATTAATCATTTTTTCTATTTTCATCTACAGACTGGTGAATGGTTGCAAAACAATCACATATGCCTTTGAATTACTTAATGTATTCTTTAATTGTTTGAGTTCCTAGCCTCACATTGTCAAAACCCAAAATGAGCCGCGAGTGGCACCCACACTTATCCTACTATGTGAGCGAACCAACCAATCTAAATCCCAACATTTCAAACATAAAAATAATGCGGAAGACTTAAAACTCATTAACAAAAACAATAATCAACTTCTAAAACTCAAACTCATCATTATCCCCAAAATCTGGAAGTCATCATCACAAGAACATCTATTCTCAAATTTCTAAATCTAAGAGTATCTAAGAAACTAAACATAAATAACAGCTAGTCTATGCCAGAACTTGAAGGCATCCGGACATGAAGAAGAAGATCCAGTCCAAGCTAGAAGCTTTAGCTCACCCTGAAATCTGGTGTGACGAAGACTTGCTAGAGTTGCAGTTGAGTTGAAGATGACGGTACGTTTACTGCACTCCACAAATAATAAAAAGAATACATACAAGTAGGGGTCAGTACATAACACAGGTACTGAGTAAGTATCATCGGTAAAATCAAGATAGAAAACAGTATATATCAGATAATATCATAAAATCAACTACAATACTCAACAAGTAGCAACAACAAGTACTATAATCATTAATAAGTACGTCAAGTACACCCATGAGGAAGCAAGCCTCCATACCATACTCCTTTGGGGAAATAGGTTCATTAAATTTGAGTATATTACAATAATTCAAGATTCACTCTCTTTATTCCTCTTTTGTCGGAACGTGACACTCCGATCCCCTAATACTACGTGTCGGTTCGTGACACTCGATCCCCCTAATACTACGTGTCGGTTCGTGACACCCGATCCCCCTATTACTACACTGTCGGTTCATGACACCCTATCCCCTATTACTACGTGCCGGT